CGGGCCCGCGGCGCCCGCCCCCACAGACGCCGGCGGCGGCGGCGTGCCCCGGTCCGTGCCCGGCGTCGAGTCCGCCCCGCGCTGGTACTCCGGCGGCGGCAGCGGCGGCTTCTCCTCCTTCATGATGACGGGGCTCTTGTTGGCCGGGTCCGGCCGCTCCTCCAGCTCGTCCTGTGGACACGCCACACTCGGTCAGGCGCAACACTTGGCGCGACCTCACAATGACAAGGTTCTCTCTGACTTACAAAACATTTAAGCGTTTCGCATTTTCAGAACACTAATAAAAGCATTTAGTAACACAAATAGAGCAAAAGTATTTCGTTTTCTATAAACCTAAATTAAAAATTGTGTTTTATTGCATTCTTTATGACAACAATAAGAGTTCGAATACGTCAAACAAATGTTTTCGTCAGAAGCGTCAGATAGAACCTTGTCATTCTGAGTCCTCTACGCAGTCACAGAAGAGGAGTAGCAGCAATGTCTACTATCTCCGCAGCAACGAAATTTACGCATCAAGCAGAATACCATCTATTCGTAAGTTTAGAAGTACTGTTATACAGAGCTAAGTTATTTCCAAATTAAAAATTGAGATTGTTGACTTTCCTGAGTTGCCTTTCATTTAAGGATAACATTTTAATAATAATTTAAATTAATACAATAATTTATACAATTAATACAATAATTAATAATACAAAATAATATCAACACATTCTGTACATATGACAAGTGCACAAAAGTCCAATTCACCTAAAACCTTCCCTTAAATTTTGCAAAAGTACATGAGGGGGAAAACAGTGAAGTCTCAAAACGCAAGAAGACCTACACTAATAATTAATATCGAGCGACTAATAGTAATCGTAAGAAAAAAGTGAACGAGATAAACACTATTTCTAAATTAATATAACTTTTTCAAACAGAAGTGAGTGTGTTTTAAGGGTGCTCCAAGGATTACAGGATTTGAATCAAATTGAGTACGTCTAATTATAATTTCAAGTTTAAAATTGTAATGTAACATTAAAAAATAAATATGAGACAGATATATGTATTACTCTCGCAAGTTTTCTTGATACACGAGCGCCCAAGTCCTCATCCAGCGCTGAAAAGCACGGCACGTTGAGATATTCGTACTTAGATTCGACTCGGAACGGCACGTACCAATTAACAATGCTGGCAATAACCATCTCGTACTTTCAAAACAATCGTAGCATTACTCGTGGCACGCTTTGGCGAGTTGAGTTCATGTTCACAGTTGGTACGTCCTCTTAAGCCGTAACGTAGCCCTCCTCTCCCCGCACCTCCCGCTGTAGAACATGAAGAAAACTTGCGCGTATAGTATTTTTAAAGCAATACCAACAAAAAGAAACAATGAAAGTTCTAAGAATGTATATCAGAACAACCACCATTCTGACAAGCCGCTCTAGGAAAACACTTGTTCATTCAACATTCTTCCACACCGGCCAGAAATTCCAGGACTACACAACCACCCCTCGGGCTTTCTCTCCAACCGCCACCCTTTCAATATCTTCCCCCGTCGGGCGCGCAACTCGCTTTCCCTTCGACAATGCATCCCCGACAAGCAAACCCCAAAGACCGGACACGACAGCATTTCTGGCAGCCGTGAGGGCACATCGGCCTACAACGCGAGTGAGTTACCTTCGGAAACGGCACACGAGTGTACCAGAGAGAGATGTCATCTCGTGGCAAGAACGGCAGTAGCTGGAGCAGCAGCGGCAACACAGTGGATACGATGAGCCGCTAATCAGATTAGCTCGACTTTCCTCATCTCTTGTTCTTCCTTCTCTCTCTCATCTGTCTCTGAAATCTTTTTTCTCTCTGTGTCTACCTCCTTCACTCTCTCTCTCTCTACCTAGGCACTTGTATGCACTAGTGTTTATCATTTAACTCTCAATGCCCCCTCCCTCAAAGATTACGTAAACGTAAGTACTCCAAGTGACGTGCCTCCCTAGGAGTATGTTGAAGTCAGCTTCCGAAAGAGATGTATAAACGTGAGCCTATAAGAGCCGTACCATACACTGATTTTGTATCTACAAGTTAACTGAAAGTTATCTGCATTATTGAACATATGTAATGTTCTCGCTTTTCAATCGTCCCCCAGAGAAGTGATACATAAGGAAATTTATTACTCGTGTACGTAGATATTCTAGGGCATGCTTTTTCTAATAATTGTTGATTCGTGCTTCTTTGCACCACCCATCAAAACCAAAATGAAATTATCATGGATATACTGCTGGATGATTAATTTGCCCGAAGTATCTTCGAAGATTTCAAAAATTGTAGAACTACATTTGGCTGCAGCGAGGCATGCCCATTAATAAGTAGTAAAATGTTTAATTAAATCAGGAAGACTAAGTGAATATATTCAATTGTGTTATGGTTCATTTTCATAATTTTTCTGACACTTATGAATATTTCAGTATTATAAGTAAAATCAGTATTCGACCTTGCAATGAACGAAACCATATTTGCAACGAGGTTCATGAGAGAGGAAAAATATTTTCGAGGATGTACCCTATGTTTCTTCATTTTGTCACAAGCCACTTATCTCCAACACACTAACCACGATGTGCTCAGCACGGATATGATTGTGAATGACAAACAGCAGATGTACTTGAAAGACTACATGCCAGTTGCAGGAATACGATTAAAACGAAGCTTACAATGGAAGAAAGATGATGGAATGTTGCTAAACCATGAGTTCCCAACAGGGTCTGTATTAACCCCCTGAGGGTCGATCAAATTTTGTAGGGGATCAATAATGATTAAAAGGTCAAATAGGTCAAGAAGTCGAATATCAACCGGCTAATGATCGATGTAATCAAGATCCCACTGATTCCCAAAATATAAAGTAATGAACTTGATAAGTGTTTTCTAATATAGAGCAACAACTCAAACTTATCCAGCATTTCAAAAATCATGAATATTTTTTCTCTCCAAAAGAATGTGTGGGAACAAAAAACATGTGAACCCAGAGCAGCGAATGAAGTCGAATAATGTTTAAGTAATTTCTTTACACGGCCATAATAGCACCTTTCAATGTAAACCTCATTCAAATAAGATTTTCTTTTTATTAACAGATAAAGAAAACAGATATGTTTCAGACATGTACAACGCGAATATATTACTGAAGTATTTCCACTTAATTAAAATTGCGAATTCAGAAAGTGTTCAATTTACCCATATGCTTCATCTGCTAGACAAACTAATCCTGTTCACATGAGAAACGCCTCCATGATTATTGTGACCACAGCTAACGCAGACACACATTAAGTATGACTCCATGGGTGAAAAATGTTCCACAATAGATGTGTTACGCGGGACAATAGGCCCTAAACGAACGCATTGTAATGCCGTCTAACCATCATCACGTCCAGTATCATTTACCTTTCATTATCATTCAACCCTATCATCCTTCATGAAGTAAAAGTCAAGTATTCTTATTTGAATGTGGTTTACATTGAAAGGTGTTCTTGTGGCCGCTGGTAAGAAATTATTTCGACTTCATTCGCTGCTTTGGTTTCACAGGTTATTTCCAATACATTCGTTTGAAGAGGAACGGTATTCATGATTTTTGAAATACGAGATAAGTTGTACTATATTTCACACTTTATAGAGTTATTTCTTTCAACCCTACCATCATTCGTAAAGTATAAGGGCAAACCACTACAATGACCTGCTAAAGAAGGAAAATCAAGTCGTCACCCTAGCTTACTGTAAAAAAGATTCTTTCGCACGTGTCATTGTCACATATACGGTAAATTATTAATTTTATATCGTTCTAAAACCTTTATCTAAGTCTAGATCCACCTCACGAGGTGATAAAACTGTTATTTCGATCATCAGTACCCAGCGTTTTCAACACTTTAGGCGGAGGAATGAAAAGTGATGATTGTCTTAATATGAACAGGGTGGCCACTCATTTTTTGAAATAAATTTCTGTAAGATTTTCAGGTTTCACAGAGCATTTAATGAAGTCACTGATACAATTTGTATTTAAGCGCATACGTTTTGAATGGTATTTAAAGAAAATATTAAAGAAAGTCTGAAATCATGTGTTTCAGCTCAGCTGATTTCACCGTGTTAAATTACAAATTTTTAAAAAACCTCAACAAACAGAAATTGAACAAAAAATTAATGCTGAACTATTTTTAGGAATAATATCTCATTTTAAAAACATCGCAAAATTGTCCCTGCCTTCTAAGGATTCTTCCACAAATTCCCTGACTTTTTCCAGAGCAGTGCACATCCCTGATTTTTAGGTTTCCCAGAAAACGGCAAGCCTGAAGATGGGAATTTTCGACATAAACACCTGCCACGAAAGCGCGCAGTCAAGCGCAAATTCCACACAGATCGCCTGGTACCGCGAGGTGGCAGGTGAGCAATATGACCACAACACGAGTTGCCCGGGGAAGGAGATCTTCTCACGCAGCGACGACGCGACAGGTGGGAGTCACCCAAGCCCAGGGCTG